AATTGGGTCACTCAAATACACTTTAAAAATGCGTTTTAATATAATTAAAATTACGTTTTCTTATAAAAATACATTATAAAATTATTTAAAAATACATTTATTTATAAAATTAATTGAATTTTTGGGCGGGGCCGGGGCGGTCCATAGTCGGTCCCATAACCGGTCCCGGTCCCACGAAACTACCAAAAACCTCAACCGGTCCCAGTTTTCGGTCCCATAACCGGTCCTTACCGGTCCCGGTCCGGTCCTTTGTCGGTCCCGGTCCTCCGGCGGTCCCGGGCCGGGCAGGGCCCATTTGGCCATCTCTACATTCAAGGGTGGTTTACCCAGAGGCTCACCGATAAGCACTTATTGGTAACAATCGACAATTTAATTTATTTTACTGGATAAGATTCTAGTTCATCAAGACGGTACCGTATGTAACAATTTACAAGATAAACACTTACCAGATAAAAGTCGTCACTCTCATTTACCAGGTAAGACTCTTCATCTTTATAATCGCTCTTACCGGAAAATTCCCGCCTCTGTTCATCTGGTAAGATAATTGATCTGCTAAGCTCATACTCAGCAAACGGCCATTTAGTTGATTTTTTTTGTGATTTTTAACCTTTCCTTACGGTTTGAAGTCCAAAACTTGAATTGTTGTAGCTGTGTTATTTTATTTTTAGTAAGATAAATTAAAATATTTACCAAAAAAGAAAGAAGTTAATTTAAAAACAATTCATTTTTGTTCAAAATTGTTTTATTTAAGAGGAAAAATAGACGAAGTCTTTATATCACTAACTAAAATAAGAGAATGAAGATTATTGTGGTTTGGACATGTTCGTAAGAGACAGATGTTAGCACCAGTAAGAACGAACGGTCGAGAGTGTCATTGTCGAGGGTGTGAGCAAGAGAGCTTAGGAGGACATGGAACAAGCAATTGAGACTTGTATGACAACTTTAGACATTTCAGAAAACACGATCTCAGATAGATGTTTGCATAGACGCATAACTAGGGTAGCAATAGTCGGCAACTACATATCATAGCAGTAGGTTGGAATGGAAATAAGACTTGTGTGGTAATGTTTGCATGCATCATATCCTTTCCAGACCCTACCAAATGGAATTCACCGGGTTCTTTTGCATTAAAAAAACAAACAAGAAAATGTTTGAGAAATTAAACAAACCCACTCGTTAGGGCCTTAATCATTTGGGTGTCGGTCTATGTTTGTGGGTTATAAGTTATAACTTGTAATTGCGTACATTCTGCGGATAACCAAACCAAACCAAACAAACCGAATGTCCCATCTGAGGATGGAATCAAGAGGTGGGATGTAGACATATCTGACCTCTACGATACTCATGTAGATCATAAAGACACTCTTGAGGATTAATAATATGTCATTAGGTGTTTTAGTGTTTGCAACAATAGATATTATGTACCTTGCTCCAATGATGCATATTGGATTTTACATATTTACCTTCCCAAAACGACGATCTAGCCCAAACAAAATTCATCGATTCACTAGATACTTGACGAAAACTAGGCTTCAAACTATATTCATATATGCATCAGCTGATCGTCTCAATAATTGCATATGCTTCATGAAGCCATTCCGACACTTGAAAGTTGCTCCCCATTAACTAGGCTACCGTTAACTAGCTAATTCATCGAGGTTCTGTTGCACAAGCTGCTTGGACTGCAAACCTGCTGCAGAACTATACCATAAACCCTCTTAGCAAAATCAGTATATACATATATAGAGTGAAGTTCTGGGGAAAACAAAATGAAAAACTGAAGAACACCCTGATAACTAATCATCTGTAAGGTATGCGTAAGGTATGCACATGTGTGTACAAGTAATTGAAGATGTTTCATGATTTCTATATGCACATGTGCATACTAGAAGAATTACTTACAAACTACTTGTATGCACATTATTAGGGTGTTTCCTCAGTTTTTTATTTTATTTTTTGAGATTTTTCCCTGAACCTGACCCTATATATATAGATGAAGGATCATGTGAGAATGGAAGTTAACATGAGAAGTGTAAGAAGGGATTTGAACCCTTGAACACTTCAATCCCAAAACAACCCATGAATTGCGTTTTAGAACGGAATTTATCTAGTGTTTCTCTAGTGTTGATCTAGTGGTTCTCTTCAATTAGGATTGATGCAAGGTGGAAATCCCTTCTTACACCATAACTTTCATTCTCACCGGTACCCAACCTTTATATATATACACACACACAATTAGGATTGATGCAAGGGGGAGATCCCTTCTTACACCATAACTTTCATTCTTATCGATACCCAACCATATAGTACTTTGACTTTTGAGGTCAAACCTAGTACTTTCCTAATGCAAATTTGAAACAAATTTCATTGCAATTTCAGTACCCAGATCTCCATTTGTCATACTTGTCCCCCTCCTCATCCACAACAGCAGAATATAAAGAAAACGGGACAACAATGTACATTATGAAAGACTGTTTGCCTGATATTAAGGCCATGTTTGTGAAACCAGTCAATAAGATACCTGTTGGCTGAAAAACTAGCTGATAAACTAATCACGTTTGGCAAAAACTAGCTAACAAGCTAGTTAACAAATGTAAAATTACCAAAAAGGCCATGTTCAAAAATTACTCAATTTTAGCATGTTGAAAAAATGCCAATAGGGCGAGGAAGATGAAGGGTGGTTGTTTTAGAATGTGCCTTGTGGCATGCTACTACTTGCTAAATGAACGGAATATTTAGAATTTAATATCATTTGGTTCAGATCTTAAACTAATAGTGCTTTGGTTTCGAACCCCATGTTCTTGGAGTTCCCCAATACAATCTTCATTCAAGTAAAAATTTGTTTGACACACCAAGGGGATGTTCGGTTGGTCTTTCATCAAGTCCTGTATGGATAAGCCATGTGTGGATTAATATGTTTGTATAGATCGAAAAGGTTTTTATTTTGGGGGGGGGGGGTTCATAGATGGAATGAGCGTGTTTTTTAATTGGGAGGGGCAGGCTTGGATAAAAACTTGGCTTTTTGCACAAAGCTCCCCCCTGGACGCTTACTGAATAAGCCACTACCAAACAGCCATGTATAGCTGACCGAATAAGCCAAGTCTCATTAAAAGCTCATTAAGCTGCTAACAAACAGACCCTAACAAAAATAGGATGTTGAGAATTGCTTTAATGCTTTCTTTCCCCAATTCCCATGGCCCCTCCTTGTCCATCAATCACAGGAATACACATTATTGATAGAGAATAAAAAAAATGAATTAAACAAATTTATATAAAAATAAAATAATGATGTGTCTTGACATGACTAGTGGAACAAGGTGGGGACATGGGATTTGGGGACAAGAGATTTTTATTCCACAACCTGTGTGTTTTAACTGTATACAAGCTAAACTCTAGCATGCAATTCTGAATATGTGAATACGATCATGAATAATACAAAAAATAGAGAAAAGGGTAAGCAAAGAATCGGAATGGAGGACAAGAAGCAATGAGAATAACCTGATTCATTTGATGATCTTAGAGGACTAGAAGTTATGACATCGGAAGCATCCTCCAAAGGAATTTGTGACATATCTACGTAAGGTCCTGAATTTGCGGAAGTTTTTGGGAGCCTGATCGGCAACATTGTCTGATACATTCCTTCTCATTTCTTGGGCTTTCATTTGGGCAGCTCTATGCTTGTTCAAGATTTTATCCATAGATGCGGACTTCTTCTTTTCCAGTTTCATCTGATGAACGAAAAAAATTACTCAAACCCACAACCAGAATAGTTCTTGTTCCAATATTAGTAACTTATGAGAATATGAGATCTTCATTAGAAAAGTTTCAGAACCCTAATGATGTGAAGTTTGGTAGATATCAGGAAGCGAGCACAGAATAAAGCTTATGTTGCCACATGCTACCAGTAATCCCTTAGACTTATAATCATGGTTGCTAAAAATGGTCAAGGCGAGGCGGTCAAAAAACGTTCTTGAGGCAGCGCTTCTACTAGCTTAGTTGGATCGTACGCCTTGAACTACTGAGGCGGGTCTGAGGCGGTAGAGGCGGTGAGGTGGGGCTGAGGTGGTAGAAAGACTTTAGGGTTAAAAAGTATGCCAAATCAAAGAAAATATACTTACCATTGATGACCCATTAAAGTGAAACCTCTGCTCCTTGCTTTGTCCTTGTGCATGGCCATTGAAGAAGAAAACTTACTGCTATCATGTGTTCATTTTTATACAATACGTACTAGGGAATAGGGATGCGACTTGGGAGGTGCATAAGGACTCTTCGATTTTACATAGCTTCTTCTTTTGACATTTGTGTCACTTTTATTGTTTCGCTGTATGTGGGAGGCTTTTATTGTTTATCTAATTTGTTTTAATTTTAAAATAAAATCTCTAACAATTAATTACCGTATTTAAGGACTTTCAAGAACACAAATAAAAAAAATTCCTTCCTTATCCATTCTTTCCCCTCGCTTCACTTTTTCTTTTCTTTTCTTCCCAAATTCGAGAAAAGTGCTCGAATAGGTAATATTGCTTACTATCATAAAGAACACACCTCAAGTTTCCGAATTGATGCCTCTGCTTTTGCATTCTGCAGGTTCTCCCATGCAGTGATCCTTGCTTCCTCTTTCTGGAGCCTGCACAAGAGAACAAAAGCATGATTCTTGTGAATATGTGTGTGTGTCAATTACAAACTAAAGGTGCTCCCTTGGTCCCAAGATGAGTCCCACTCCCTCTCTTTCAGCACATTATTGTTTTACTTTCCAGGAGGGCCACCCCCCTCCCCTTGTAATTTTGCAGTTACAGATGGCTATGCAAAGAAACTATTCAAATTTCACTCGTTGCATGTGATAATAATAATAATCAAAGGTAGTTGGTGGGCTCCCCCACTAATCTTGAAAATAATACAGGCCCGACCCCGAGTAGAATCAATGATGAATATTTGGGATGGAAGGAGTAGAAGAAAGCCATTAACACACTGTTACCTTTTGACCTTATACAAAGTGGATAGAGCTAAAAGTAAGGGCATGTTTGTTAGCAGCTTAATGGGACTCGCAGCTTATTCGGTCAGCTATACATGACTGTTCGGCAGTAACTTGATGATGTAGAAAGTGGCTGAGTCACTAAGCTTTTAGGAGAAGCTTTATGCAGAGAGCCAAGTTTTTCCAAATCTGCCTCTCCCAATCAAGAAACACGCTCATTCAATCTATGAAAAAACCACCCCAAACAAAAACCTTCCCAATCCATACAGATAGGTTAATCCATACGGACAGCTTTATCCATGAAGGACTTAACGGAAAACCAACCAAACAGCCCCTCAGTGTGGGTACCATGCATCTTAACTTGTTGTTTAAGCATCATTGAAATGTGATGAGATCAGATATACAAGAAACATATGAAGCGTGGCATAATTTTCAACTATCGGATTAGTTTTCAAGAATGGTCACAAGAGAGAGAAAGTAAACAAGCAACATGCTCCGCCAACTAAGGAATGAAAAATTAAGAAAAACTAAAATGATAAGGATACTGATGTTGGAAAAATTAAATGTCAAAACTTAGGATTAATTATTAAGTTTATTTTTATCATGTATTAAATAAAGATGGTCATGGACACCTCATATGTTTGTGCTGGCAGGAAGTTTTAAGGAGGTTATGGGTAGTTTTTAGGGAGTCGGTTATGGCACCCTTGCCAACCAACGTGTTGCTTGATATGCGCCGATTCATCATGTATATAAACATGATATCGGCTGCCATTTGAATGTGCGCAAGGTTTCCCATTTAATAATTAAGATTTGTCTCTCTTATGTGATAGTTTTCTCTCTCAATTATATAAGTGTGTGTGTAAGATTTCATTCTGCAAATGGGTTCTTCCGCATCAAAGGGTTTTGATCAACAGATTGAAAACACCGAAGGTTCTAAAACGGTGTTCATCAAAGAATCACAACCATCATCCTCATCTCAACAGTGGTATCAGAGCCAACGGTCAGAACAGAAACGGAAGCAAGAACAATCAAGAAGGAAGTCGTTGAGGATTCTTCAACAGATTCGCGAAACACGTGCACGATTAAATGAAAACGAGAAAACCGCGAAGTTACAAAGCAATCCGATCGACAGCCGTGAAAGGAGCGAGACAAGGCCAAAGAAACCAACATGCTATCGGTGCATGTTGAAGGGGCACTTTGCCTGTGACTGCCCGAGGAAGATGGCGCGCTCGATGCAGAAAAGGTCGATACTACAAATGGTAGAAACCGGAACAAGCAGCAAAATTCGGAGTTCTCGAATTTTTGGTCTGTTGCTGTCTTATCAATAGACGCACACCGAAAGAATCGTCGTAAATGGAGATTACTTGGTTGAAGGAACGGATACGGGATCTTGGAACACGATTTGGTACGTAAATACCAAAATTTCGAAGCACATGTCTTCTACAAAATTTCGGAGCACATGAAGAGACACTGCTTAAGACTATCGAACATCTCCTTTGTAGGAGACATGTGCTTCGAAATTTTGGTATTTACGTACCAAATCGTGTTCCAAGATCCCGTATCCGTTCCTTCAACCAAGTAATCTCCATTTACGACGATTCTTTCGGTGTGCGTCTGTTGATAAGGCAACAACGGACCAAAAATTCGAGAACTCCAAATTTTGCTGCTTGTTCGGTTGTTCCGGTTTCTGCCATTTGTAGTATCGACCTTTTCTACATCGAGCGCGCCATCTTCCTCGGGCAGTCCCAGGCAAAGTGCCCCTTCAACATGCACCGATAGCATGTTCGTTTCTTTGGCCTTGTCTCGCTCCTTTCACGGCTGTTGATCGGATTGCTTCGTAACTTCGCGGTTTTCTCGTTTTCATTGAATCGTGCACGTGTTTTGCGAAGCTGTTGAAGAATCCTCAATGACTTCCTTCTTGATTGTTCTTGCTTTCGTTTCTGTTCCGACCGTTGGCTCTGATACCACTGTTGATAGGTTCATCAGTCCATCTTGACCGCTGGGCGTAGCTGCTATTATTTCCACGTGCACCTCTTCTTCCATAAGCATCAGAAAAAGAAGGGCCGCCGGTTTGATGATTTATAGGTCTTGTAGCATTGTAACCCCTATCTCTAGGGCTCCATCCGCTTCCGCCACCTCTAATAACAACTCCAGGAGATGAAGAGCTTTTAAAACCAACATTAGGGTTTGTTCTAGCTCCTGCTTGAACATGGTTACATGATCTCTTGATCTGGCCTTGGTACCCCCGTATATCATGCCACAATTGCCTCTCCTGAATGTCCGATTCAGTTACTACCGTTTCCGGGATGGTTGTCCCTTCAAGCACGCACGGTATGTGGAGAGAGGAGACCGGTGGTTGATAGTATATGCATAGAACATCACGATGGTTTGCAAATCCATTAGAATCGCTAGCATCCTCAAAGTCTTGCTTAAAATGGACAAAACCATTTATGTCTCCACTTAAGTCCGTATCGATCTTGATTGAGCTATTTTGCTTCATGCAACCAGCAGTGTTGATAATTGCAAGGCTAAAAATTCTGAACTGTGCATGAACAACTTATCAACATTCTCTGCATTTCTTTTAGCTTCTTCCTCGCTGAGCTCCTTCTCGATCTTCTTTGTTGCAGCAAGAAGACGCTCCTCCTCGATAAAAGGAAGTTTGCAGATACCCTGCCAAAGATATCTTTTCCCATCTGTGTCCGTATCAAATTCAGTGGGATAGAAATCAAGAATGCTTGAATCTTCATCAGTCATGACTGATAGTCTGATATGAAACTGGCAGAGCATGCGCACTCGTCGGAGGGAGGACTGCCATCAGCTGATCAAATGGTTTAAACGGCTTTCCTTTTTGAAACATCATTTTTGTACTTGAAAGACCTTTCAGATCAGAAGCAAAGGGACCATAATGATATGGAAAAAACCATTTCCACGATGGAACACCTGAGAAGTAATACTGTAATACAGAAGATGGTTGAAAAAGTTTTGACATTTAGAAGGGAGTGTTGGAAAAATTAAATGTCAAAACTTAAGATTAATTATTAAGTTTATTTTTATTTTAATTATGTATTAAATAAAGAGGGTCATGGACACCTCATATGTTTGTGCTGGCAGGAAGTTTTAAGGAGGTTATGGGTAGTTTTTAGGAAGTCGGTTATGGCATCCTTGCCAACCGACGTGTTGCTTGATATGCGCCGATTCATCATGTATATAAACATGATATCGGCTGCCATTTGAATGTGCGCAAGGTTTCCCATTTAATATTTAAGATTTGTCTCTCTTATGTGATAACTGGATGCAGAAATAAAGCTATGTGCCATACTGAAGTAACCCTTCATCTAAAACTAGTAAAGGTAGGCAACAAAAGGGGAATCAAATTTGTTACGCTTTGCATCTCCCATAATTGAACAATAATGTGAGTTTATGTAGCATATAGTATAAAAAAGGGGAACAATAACTTGTCTGAAAAAAAAGAAATCCAAGGGAATTTAGTCTCACAAGAGACCTAATTAGCACATTTCACAAATTAGACAGTGAAATTATCGTATGTGACAGTGGGGTAACTTTTTTCTAGCCTAAAGATCTATTTGTCTTTATTGAAGGTTCATGTCCTTCAATACCCTTCAATACAAACAGTCAAATTCTTTTTAGTTAATTCTATCCATCTCCCATTCAGGCTACAAGGTCTCCTCTTAATACAAATTGCTGCTACTTCCACCTTTGAGGTATCGTTTTATCCATTACCTTTTACATCAAATACTTGTTACGGTTCACTCATCTTATGCACATGTTGCCTCTCCATGGGAACACGCATAGCTGCCCTTCACAAGTGAAATGCACTAATTTTGAGAAATCATAATTCTTTTTCACTTAATGGAAAACTACAAGGTACGGTTTACATGCATAATTTTTCCTTATAGATAGGAAACTAAATCTCTAAACAATAGGAAAAAATATATAGCTAATATATCGCTATATACAACTATATTTCCTAAACCGACACTCCCACTCAAGTTGGGGAATAAATATTTACAAGACCCAACTTGTTGATATTCCATCAAAGATTTGCATGAATAATCCTTCTGTAAGGATATCAACTACTTGTTGCGTGATTGGAACATACAACATGCGTATCATTCCATTTTCTAGCTTTTCTTTGATGAAGTGACCGTCAATTTCCACATGTTCAGTTATGTAATGCTGCAAGGAACTATTAGCAATGCTTATAGCAGACTACTTGTCAGAGGATAGTTTCATACGACCTTCCAGTGGTAGCTGTAGTTCCTCCAATACTCGTTTGAGCAAAATTGCTTCACATATTCCATTGGCCATACACGATACCATGTAATTTTGGGAAATCAGAATTCTCTCTCTTAAATAGAGATCTACAAAGTAGGGTTTAAACTTTAAATACGTGGTTTTTCCTTATAGATAAAAAACTAAATCTCTAAAAAGATAGAAAAAAAAGGTCACATAGCTAATATACAGTTATAAACAACTATATTTCGTAAACGCACGCTTCGTCAAGGTTTCTGAAAATTCTGTAACGACACTTTGAATAAGAGTTTGATCTTTAGTAGTTTCCGATTCAGATAAGATACAAAGAAAGTATATATTGACAGAAAGAGTTAAAGGCTTGTTCTTAGAGACATACTTTGACAATTTCATTGCTCCTTCTGTAGCATTCCATGTCAAAGCTAAGTCATTAGCCTCTGGTGATCGGTTATTCTTCATTTTTATCCTGTTTCTTTTTGATTGCTTTGTCATAGTGGCTCCTTTGTCTACCTGGACATCCTTGACTTCCAATCTAGCAGAATGATGGTTGCCAGGTTCCACAGGTGGAGGAATATATGGAGCGATAGACATTGACATCCCTCCCTTTGGGGAGGTTTCAGGGCTGCAAACAGGGCTCATCTGGGTCGCCATATCTCGTCTTGAGATAGCACGGGAGACACCATTTTCATCACGCTTATCTTCTGCAAGTTGATATATCAGTTACAAGCAGCTATCAAATAGGCAAATAAGATGACAGAAGTTTGTGATATATACTTTATATAGTGAACATGATAAAGTAACTAAACTTGTCTTTATTGATGACAGCAAACTTTAACATAAAGCTGCATAAAGAAATACCCGCAAAATGGTACAAGAGCCATCATAAACATAAAAACTAAGAACCCTTTAGAACAGGAAAATGGTCAATGTAAAGGGGAAGTATGCTGATTATAAGTGGAAACAACAAAAGTGAAAAGGTGACGAGGATGAGAAGAAAAGGCACCAACAAATATCTTTCTCTAAAATCTTTTATTATCATCCAATTCAATTGGCAACTTCTTCCACACATATTGCCTTAGGTGCTGACAAGGCCAAACTACGTTTAGAAGTGCACCGACCAAATATCATGAAAATTCTTGCACAAGACAAATACTTGTCTAAATCCAACTTTCTTAGGCCTGAAATCTCATGAACTTTTTACAAAATCTCTCTTCACAAATTAAGTTTCCAGTGCACCACTTTGTGTTGTGATTCCATGTCAAGAAGGTATTATGATACCGAATGTGCCAAGAATGTCTAAAGAAATCCATAGAAGTCCAAGGACGGAAAAGGTTATACCTTGAGAATCGGAATATGAAGACTCCATCAACAACTCAGTCCATCCCAGTATGTTGGCAGATTGAACCATTCCATACTCGGTGTGAGCAGAACTAATCACACCACCATGGTGAAAAGGTAAGCCATCAGGCACTAGGACTCCAGTTGTGATTGGCGAGCCGGCAAGAAAATTGTTGGCACTTCCACCTTCAAGAACTGGCACAGCAGGTGAATAGTTTGAAAAGTAAGCAACCCCAGGAGTCCCTCCCAGTGGTCCACTCTTTGCCTTAGGTCGTCTCTGAGGTGGCGGAGCTAAAGTCTTGCAAACCCCAAAACCAGAAACTGGGCTTGTAATCCATCTCTCAGCATCATCCCATTTTGATGGCAGTGTCCTCCCACTATTGAAGGGCATCAATGCTGCAGCACTAATATGCCTCCGGCTGCTATTACTTGGCAAGGGTACTCTCTCCGAATACCATCCCTTTTGAAACCCCCCCACATCGTTATCACCATAATCAGGAGTTCCTGGGCTAGTGTAAGCACCCGAATTACCGAAAGAGGATGAATTCTTATTCACAGATCCCAATTTTGGTGAATAGCAGACCTGCATTGCATCGTCTGGTTCTACTTCTACCAATCAGGTTTCTGAAATTACTTCCCAAAAAATTTCTGCACTTCAAATCGACTTACGATTAGATGATTGCCCTAGATTCTTTAAGACCATTAAATTGACTTACCTACAAAGGGGTATGAACGCTAGTACAGTTTTAGCTGTACATCACGAATCTAAATATAGCATTCAGACTGTCACACTACTTACAAAAAGGAATACAAAATGGGCATTTTCCTTGTGGTCACCGATTTCTGGGGACCAGCGTAATGCTCGTGAAGATTACACATACTTCCAAGAAAAATATCAAATCAAGAAAACGAAAATACATTAAAATGAACGTTCCTTTACAGCTAGAAAAAAAAAGGGAAACACTCATCAGATGTTTCCAATGTTACCAAATAAAATAACGATATGAACACTGCAAAAATTAAACTCAGATTCAAACAAAGCTAATGAAGCAGTATGAAGTTATGAACAACAAAATTCAAAATGCAATGATTACAGGGTTTTACCTGAATCAAAAGGTCTTTGTTAGTTGACCAAAAAACTCTAGACAATAAGCAGAAGAAGAAAGGTAGATTCGGAGCAGTGATATTATTGGTTTGTCGAGAAAGCAAAGTAGGTGTTCGATCAAATGTCCAAACGAGATCGCCGTGGCGGATGAGGTCGAATAGATCTTCCGAGATTTCCTAGAGATCGAAAGGGTCGCAGACAGGATCCATGTGATGATCCCCCCAAAGTACGGAAAGAGTCTCCCACCTTTTCTATATATTACACCATTAAATGTTGTGAGATCTCACTATCTAATCTTACATATGTTATCAACTTTCGCAATATAATCGGTGGACCCCGCATCGATGTCACCCGCAAAGGCTATTTTTATCGTCGTGAAACGAGCGAATGCTTAAGTAACGGTTGGTTTATTTCTTGTTATGCGTATCAGAGCTACTGAAAAATTAGCTTTTAAGATCTGCAAGAATCATCGTCCATTTCAATTAATCATAAAGTGACAGTACTTATTTATAGAATGGTCCAAGCGATCTCCCATAACGTGGTCCACTCGGGAAATGACCGTTTGAGGCATCACAAACAACCAGGTCAAATATTATGGTTTGTTTTTTCGTAAAAATTGTACGTTTTTCTTTTAATGTGATTCGGTTTCACTGTTTATAAACATGTATGAAAATGATTATAGAATTGAATATAATTCATTACAGTATTATGTATCACGTATCATCTTATTTGATCTGTTTTTAATATTTGTAAAACTTTGAGCAATAAATTTGTCTTTTATATGTTTATGCAAAAAGGGTTTTTTTTTACAGAAAAACGCAATTTACCCAAATTGCCCCATCCCAAAAAATCATGTGAGAGATAAATCAGATACACAACGACCCCTAGGTGGTTTAATGTGACTAGATTAATAGATTAGGGTTTACAAGAAGTCTAATCCCTAAAGGAATCGTGAACCCCATACAATGTCTACGATACTCAAACCCTCGCAAATTTGTGCAAATGTACCACCTTGAAACCAATTGTGTTAACCCCAGGAGGCTAAAGGGTTGTTTACCAGACGCTTAACAGATAAGCGATTATCAGCAAGATTCATCGTTATTACCTTATCAAATTTCGTTGTCAGTAAGGGGTTGTTTGGCAGTTGCTGAATGGTTTGGTGCATAATGATTAAGTGGTCAGAAAAATTAAGAGGCTTTCATGATATAGTGCAAAATGAAATATAATTGTTAGGTAATTGTTTACAATGAAATCAGAACACTTAATGGTTAAGGAAAGCTTAAGATACAAAATCATTCAGAAGGTTTCAGAACCATTAAGAGACAGATTTTTTTTGTCAAACAAGATCCACCTCTTAATGATTCAGATGTTGTCTCTCAATAAAACTATTAAAAGGTAAACAAACAACCTTAAGAGTCATAACAATTCAACTACCAAATTTTGGTTTTGATTTTTATTTTTAGAATAAAATAATATAATGAGTTGTAAAATAATTGATTTTTAATAACAATGTAAAAGTTAATTAATTGTATCTACTATCTAATTTTAATCATAATTATTATGATTTTTTAAATAATAATCACGATTAAAATATATATTAAATTGTCAATTTAGAATAAAAACTATCACGTTTATGTAAATAAAAAATAATAATGTTTTTTTATTCGTTTTTAATATTAAAAAAAAAAGACTATGTTGACGATTGAAACCGACCAAAATTAGTGGGGCACAAACAGTGTGAAATAATTGTCTTTTTAATAGTCAATTTCAGTTTTCCCCCTTGGACTTTGTCATATTTAGCGAAACTTGTCATTAATATTTGTTTATTACATATTTGTTCGTGAGATATGTACAATTGATTGGTTTTGGTCCCTCTTATTAACGATCGTTACATTTTTCTGTTAAATCCAGTTGAACAACTTACATTTTTCTATGAACCCTATAACGACCATAACTTCACCATAAACTTTGCTCTTTTTCTTCTGCCTCGTTCCAAAATAATTAAGGTGATAGGGTCTTAAAGGAGACGTTAGGCTTCAGAACTGTTCAGACTCTAAGAAAAATGACATGCGGCTAGTCCCAACTCTTAGTCTTCTTTAGGTGCTTCAACTACGGTATAGGTAGAAGGAGCTCGTACGGGAAAACCTTTACTTGGGACCATGTGAGACCAATATGTTTTTGCAAGACTCATAAGACCATTTTTTTATACTTAAAACTTCACAGCAAAACACTGTGCAGTTAACCTTTACAGTGTTTTTTGCTGTGAAGGTTCAAATCTTTTTTGCCTTCACAATATTTTGCTGTGAAATTTCAAGTGTAAAAAAGTGGTTTCATGGGTCTTACGAAAATAACATGGTCTCACATAAACCCAACACACACACACACACACACACACACACATATATATATATATATATATATATATAGGTTCACGTGAGACCAATGGTTTTTCATGAGACCCATAAGACCAATTTATGTTCATTGATTCACTTTATAAACTAATGAAAGTTGCAAGGTGACAATTTTGTGATTATTGAGAAATCTCGTGACATTTATGAATGTTCAAATTGTCAAATTATAGATTTAATATAAGGATTGAGAATTGTTCTTACGGGTCTCACGAAAAACCTTTGGTCTCACATGATCCCAAGTCTCTCTCTCTCTCTATGCATATTTTGACGATCTGCATTCGTTGTACCAAAATGTTAATCAATTTTTATTTTGGTCTCATTTGGCATGAATATTAAATAGATGATTATTAATTAAATAATGTGAACTTATTCAAACATTATGATCGTTCATACTATTCTGATACGGAAATTTGAGTTTTTATGCCCAATAGAATTTATTCAAACTTAGTACTTAGTTTTTCTATGTTATTAGCACAACAATGTTTATATTACATTTAGCAGCTAACTGGTTATCGTTTATAATCTTCTGTAGACCTTCCACCATCTCTTGTAGACCTCTCATCTAGGAGTGCTCATGGGTTGGATTGATCGGGTTGAAGCAATTGGAACAACCCAACTCTATGTCTACGGTCTGAAAAATCTCAACTCAACCTGCTCAAACAAGAGTGAGACCTAGCCCAAGCCAAACTGTAAGAGTTTGTCGGGTTAGTCATGTTGATATTTTGGTACATCAAAATGTTACCCTAACGTTGAATATGTTGTTTTCTCTATTTATAGTTCATTTTTCATCATCCATCATTTGGTACAGGTTATCCATGCTCATTAAATCTTAAGTATATCATATTCAACTATTTTTCTCAATTTGCATATATATGTTCACATTTAGTGAACATATATACGAATGAATTATATAGAGATGAAGAAGAGATTGAAAATATATGTATTTATGAATTATGAAGAGGGTATGTGATACAATGATGGTGTAATTGTTTAATGTACATATTAACAGAGACTTAACAATCATATCAAGTCCAATAAATAAAAAGAAATCGGGTTCATTGAGTTGGGTTCGATTCAAGTGATCATAACCCAGATTCAACCTAATACCTAGGATTTGAAGATTTTACAACTCGATTAGATATTGGCTTGTTTCAGGTTGTGTTATTTCACGCTGGGTTGCGTTGGCCAGGTTGGTCGAGTTTTTGAGCACTCCTACTCCCATCATACAACATTGATTAGGCTTTTCAATAGTAATAACTCGGTCCTATCGGGTATCTTTAGCAATATCAATCTTCATTCCAATTCATATCATTCGAGTTCATATCAATCGTCTATTGAATACACATTTCATTGAATGAGAGATGGTGAAAGCTTAGAGTGATAAAATATGATGAGATGAGGATATTTTGCCACTCTTCATTATCATCATCATCGTCGTCGTCTCTTATCGTTGTATCATAACTGACTTTTCTTACTTATAGTTTCTCGTTCACTTTCCACAATCTTCAACCCTTGTAGCAAAATTATTGTTCGTCTTAAGGTCCGTTTGTTAGCAGTTTAATAATATGCATGACTGTTTTGAAGTGTCTTGATAATATATAAACTGGTTTTATTCAGTAAACTTATAGAGAACAATTTTATGTAGAAAACCAATTTTTTTTTTTCCAAACCTGACCCTCCCAATTAAAAGCACGTTTCTTTCATTTATGAAGAAACCCTCAAAAACAAAAATCTTCCCCAATCTATACTGACAGATGAATACACGTTAACCTTCACCAATATAGAAGTTAATTAAGAAACCAATCAAACATTCCCTTACCATAGCAAAGATGATGCCATTCTAAATTACAGTTTTATTAGAATTGTCATTATGCTAGAACCTAACAATACCCCAATCAAAAGTATCATTTATTATTGTTATTTATGTAATTAATATTATCAAATTTTATATTATTTATTAAAAAAATGATATGCATGTGGCCTCTATAAATATAAATGTTGACTAATAATAAGCAATGAAATCAACTTTAAAATATTTTATTCTAGGAAACTATAGGATATAGGAATATACCCTATATATATATATATATATATATATATATATATATATATATATGGTATATTTCTTTTACAACCTTATGCATTTGTACAACCTTTGCAACCCAATTAATTAAGATATTTATAGAAATGATTGGAGTTCATTTATTATAATTTGAATATTTATGGAATATGAATAGAGTTTATTAATTATGATTAATACTTTATATTAGGAAACAATTAATTGATTAAAAATTGTATGGTTGAGATGAGAGTTGTATAGGGTGTAGGAATGGCAAAGGGTGTAGAATAACATCCCTATATATATATATATATATATATATATATATATATATATATGGGTTGGTTCAAATAGAAACCAACCATATGGTACAAACTATGTGAATCGATCTTAATCGTTCATTTTATCATCAAACGGTTATTATTAAATGAGATTAAATAAACAATAATTTAATTAATATATTAATTGATATGTGTATGAACAATTGTTCAAAGGGTAAATTGGTCAAACGGTCATTATTAAATGAGTATTAAAAAATAATCAATTAATCATTAAATTAATTGGGCTGCTTATGAACAATTGTTCACAGGGTAT